ATTTGATATAAATGGTCCAGGGTCTTGTTTGAAGCGATACTCCGATCCTACTCATTTCAAAAGAGCTTCTAAACTTCCAGAAATTAAGGTTTGTTTTGGAGATTAAATCAGTTAAACCATATATTTTCGTGGAGTTTCTTATTCTTGATGATTAACATTCTGCTTTCTAAACTTGTTGTATGCATGATGCAGAAGAAAAAATCTATACAACGCGGTCGAGATATATCAAGTCTTGCCTCTGTGGCTAACCAGAGTGACAGGTAATAACATTTGGATATGACATTGTTGAGATATATGTTTTCATATATGACTCAAAACATGAATTTATAATATGATGTTCAGGAAGACATTTACTTCTTTAAGCTTCAGTGGACGAACGTCTACTTCTAAAACTGCTTCAACGATTGAAATTGAGTCGAAATCCGACTTGCAAGATCATCGTTCGTTTTCTTTTGATTCCAGAAGTGGTGGAGAGAAACCGAAGGGGGTATCTTCTTCTTCAAGGTTTCCACCGGGTTCTCGGACAATTGCTTCGGTTCTTTCTGAAAGTGAAAGTGGAGATACAAATGATAGTCCTTCTCAAGATCTAACTGCTCGTGGTTCTTCTAGCGTTAGTTGGCACGAGAAAGCTGAGATAGTGGAATGCAATGTTCTGCAATGTGCAACAGATGAAAATCCTGAAGCAATGGAAACTAACTTTGTCGTGGATGGCGAACCAGTATCAAGACTGAAAGAACATACAGCGGTTGAAGCGGTCCAAGATATCGAACCGAAGGAATTGGAAATGGACAGTGAGGATGAAACTGAAAGCGAAGGGGACAATTTTGTTGATGCTCTTTACACCATCGACTCGGAATCTGAAAATGATCAAGTTTTCCAAACCACTAAAGAGGTGCAGAAGAATCTTTCCAATGAGATTACAGAGCAAGAAACAGAGAAGATTTCTAACAACTTTAGTGTTGATGAGACAATATGTGCTGCTACATCAGAGCTACATTTATCATCACCGGTAAATAAATCTAATGAACTGATTCATCAAGATCCATGGGCGGCTTCAGAAATAAGCAGTGGCACTCATAGTTATTCTAATGGCTTCTCAAATCCCTTGTATGATATTAGCGGTATTCAAGAACATCAAGAATCAGAAGAAGCTGAGACTTCTTGTGACACTGAATCCATTAAAACATGGACTAATGGAAATCTGCTGGGACTGAAACCATCGAAACCGAAGATTATATCAGCAACTATTCCAGAGATTGTTGAAAACATTGATTCTGAAACCTTCCAAGAGCCCTTGAGAGAAGATTATAAGGCTCCTTTTGATTGGTTTACTTCATCTCCTCCACTTGATCACATGAAAATATCATTCAAATCCGCAGAAACCTTGCCGAGCTCCAAACTAGAGCTGAAACTTCCAGATGAATATACATTTTCTTCCTTTCAGTTGGTGCCAGAGACTATTGCTACATCACTTCCTGATTCTGATTCAGACAAGGATACTTTCTGTAGATCCTCTTCTTACATTTCAGATAACAGCGACAATGACAATCGCTCTCTGTCAATGTCTGAGCAGCAGTGGGAAGAAGAATCAGACGGTATCCGAGAAAGCAAGAGCCAACAAGAGCTCTATGATTCTTTTCACAGAATTTCTGCAGAAGCTTCTTCTCTATCAGCTCCATTTCCAAAGATTGAAACATCAAATGGTTATTTAGCTGGAAATGTCTCTTACCTCCAAAATCCAGCTGAGCCGTTGCCACCGCCTCTCCCACCGTTACAGTGGATGGTATCAAAGATACCGTCAGGGAGATTCGAGGATAACAACAAGCAGTCTCTAAAGGATGCTCTCATACAGGCATTTGAGAAGAACAACAATTCTTTAACTGCAGTCAAGAAAGAAGAACCAAACATTGTCACTGTTTCTGATCCTAAACTGGAAAACAAGGTATGGAGAATTAAGTTTTGTACTCTCTTTTTAGTGTTTTTCGTCATTTTGGTTTAAGGAGTTTTATGTGGTGGTTGATAGGTACATTTGAAGAACAATGTGAGGGATTATAAGCAAAGTCAAGGCAACAAAAAAGAGACAGATGCTGGTGACTTCTTGCATCAAATCCGAACAAAAGTGAGTCTTTTATTTTTGATTTATATCTTATATGGGACAAATGATTGAATCATAGGAATGAAATGGGACAAATGATTTTTTTGTATCCTCCATTTCTCATTTCCATTTCCACAAAGTCATAAATTGCATTTTTCGTAATCAATGACATCCTTTTGAATCATATATAACAGCAATTCAACTTGAGACGTGTGGTCACGACAAAGACATCATCATCAGAAGCTACAATGAACACCAATTTTAGCGTGATTCTAGAGAAGGCAAACTCTATCCGACAGGTTCCATTATTCACATTATAATTTTTTGTTTTAGTTTGCAACATGCAAGTACCATTTTGGTCCTTAACGCATTAACATTTCGGACATGTTGTATCAGGCTGTAGCAAGCGACGATGGAGATGGCGAAAGCGATACATGGAGCGATAGCGACACATGACAACAAGTGCAGTTCACCACATTCAATCCGTTTTACATATGTTTATTGTGTTGTAGATATAGGTCGATTTTGTTGTACGTTTATATTTGTATTTTCAAAAAAGAGATAAGGTTATTAGTTATAGAATATGTTTTGTCTGAATCTCTTGATGATTAGTAACAAACAAAAGAACTTAATTAATTCTTATACACAAAAAACGTGAGTTGGCAAATATAGGATCTCGGAAAAGAATCATTATATAAGGACTCAAAGCCCTAAGCCGTGAAGTTGGCTTTGTGATCTTTAATTTGAGTCAGTACGTACTTGATTCGACACACTAAAGAAAAAAGATTCTGTCCTTGCTTGTACACTTTTGAATCTTTTCACTTTCTAAAATAAACATCTCGGACGACAAAAGATAAACATTTGATATGTTTCTTTAGTTACGTTCTTACAATTTCACTAGATACTGGTTACTGTAAATAATGTTATGAGAAAATATTTAAAACCGGTTTGTCTATACTCTATATCTGAAGATAAATCTCTGGTAGGTAAGAAACACCGTCTGATGATTTTCGAAAATTTGTATTATTACATAGTTTCTACTTTTCTTTTACACGGGAATTCAGTGGCAATTGTGTGGTTTATTAGTGGTAATTACTATTTAAACTGTTTTATGTTTAGAAACTCTTGAATCTAAATTTCATTATTTCTATTTATTTAAATAATCTCAATCTTTTATGGAATTTTTGTTGAATAATCTAGATGTTAGCAACTTCACATACATATATACACCCCGTCGATATAAATGGAGAACTTGCTCTATAAAATCAATAAAAGATATGTCAGATCTCTAAATTACCGACCCTAAGATTTAATCACTGAACAAAATTCACAAAAATAGCTCCTTTTCATTTAATTTATCGCTTATTTTTTCTTGCTACTTTTATCATTTTCTTAATTTGGTCGTGTAATTAAAGATTCCTTTATCAAAGATATGATCATTTTTCTTCTTTATAACCTATAATTATTTCTAACCTATAATCACTGAACAAAATTCACAAAAATAGCTTCTGCAGCAAAAAAAAAAAAACCTATAATTATTTCTATACATAATGATTTTCTTTATTAAAGTTAAATTCCTTAACCTTTTATGTTAAAAAATTGTTTTCTAAAAGAAAGAGAAGCAAAGACTATATAAAGGTTATATGTATTTGATTGGATCACTAGAGAAAAGCAAAATTGGAGAGACAACCAAAATTACGAAGAAAACATGCAACCACTAAAAGTCTAAACTCAAGTGGATGGTAGTCTAGTGGCATTTGAGCTTGGTATTTTCAAAGGAGGTTGATTATGTTCTCCTCAAAGAAAAACTAATTATACATGCATGTGCATTGACTTTAGAGTGAATGGTGATAGACCGTATACTTAAATCTGTTGAATGTGTACGTTTGTTATGGAACGCTCAAGTCATGGTAAATTTTTAGTGAATGTTATTTAAATTTGGTGAATTTGAAAAAGAAAAACATCATCGGTAAACCTCAAATCACAACGATTTTTTTTCTTTTTATTAATTTACAAAAGCCTATGCTTTTTCCATACGTAAAAGTTGTTCTTTATGACTAGAAAGATACCAATGAAAAATCATATAATTTAAAGGGAAGATGAATATGAAATTAAACTCAAAGAAAGAAAAAGAGAGATCAACGTCGATCAATTTTCTCCTTTTTTTTTTGTTCTGTTAAAAACAACGTTCTCTTTTTTCTTTAACTTTTTCTTTTCTTCTTTCTTTTTTAATTTTTTTCCTTTCATTTTTAACACTTTCCTTAGTTTTACTTCCTTTATATTATTTATACGTCAACCGAATATGGGATTAGGTTAATTGAAAGTGGCATATTTTCAGAAAAGTGCTTTTCTTTGCTTTATCTTTTTTCTCAAAGCAATTTCCATTCAAATACTCCCTGGCTCTTCAAATATAGCAGAGATCATCGATGATGATCAGTCCATGAAGATTAGATTTGATCATGAATTTATCAGACTTACGTGATTATTGGTAAAATGACCTATGTCATTTATGTTTTCTCGGTATCAATATAATATATACCGATCCAGTTATTGACAATCTGATTCGTTTTGAACCGGTTCATGGAAACATGTACCATACTTGCAATCTGGCCACTTGGAACTGCCACACAAAAAATATTAAAATTAAAATTTAAAACAATTCGTATAGTTTATGATCTAACTTGTTGAGGACCCACGAGAAGTCTTTAGAGCTAAGAGCATCTCCAATGGCATATCTTAGAGTATATCTTAACTAAATATCTTAGGATTAAACACAAAAAAATAATTCAAAACAGATTAATAAGCTAAGATTTATATCTTAGCTTAGATTTTTTCTTAAGGTTAAGATGTTGTTACGTGTCAGCATCTGAGTGGAGGAAAGAAAAAACAAAACCAAAAAAAAAAATTATTGAGTTGTGTTTTTTTTTTTTTTTTGCGTTTTTCATCTCTGTCGAGAGAGAGACTTTTGTCGACAAAAATGAGGGTGTGCGATCTCTTTGATTCCGGTGGTTCCGTCGAACTAGGATTACGGTAATGCAAAATCCGTCTATGATCCGTTGTTATCATCAGGGTTCTTAAAGTTGGGATTACGGTAATGCAAAATTAGGGTTCTTAGAATTGGGATTAGGGTAATGTAAAATTAGAATTCTATGATCCGTTTGATGTGTAGAACAGTAAGAATTGATGTGGTCAGATTGAGAATTGGTAATTGATCTGTTTGAGAAACTGGTAATTGATCTCTCAGACTTCTTCTTCTTCATCTCAAGTAAGCTTCTTTCTTTGATCTTCCTCATTTAGTTTCGTTTCTTATTGTAAGTTTCCTTTGATTTGTATAATATGTTCTCTCTCTGATGTTTGTGAGATCTATAAACCCAATTGTTCCAGTTTTATTGTAGAAAATTCAATTTGATTTGGTGAGAAAATCTAACCTAGTTATGGAACCGTTGGATTGAGTTTCACAATCTACAAACATTGTCATAGATGTTCCAGTCTTGCTTCAATTTCTATCCTTTGATAATTGTATTGCTAAAAGATGTCTTTTTTGTTTTATTAGTGGTTTGATTCGTATAGCTTATTTCTGCTTTGTTTGTAGGAGAAATGACTGAATCCAAGGTAGTGGTTCCAGATGTCTGTGATGTGAGTTTGCTTCTTCTCTGTTCAGAGTTTTGTTTCCATGATTGTTCTTTTGATTACCTAGTTTGTTATCATTGGATCTTGGTCGTAAAATGAGTACTAGTTTTAAAGTAAAGAGTAAATGTCGACTGTAATGGATATTAGAGCTAATTTTAATTGTTTACTTGAACTTTTGCAGGGATACTCAATATCTGCTTCAACACCATCAATGTCCAATGTTGGGCAAGTTTCTTCTTTCAACCAACACCTCTCTGTGTGTGTATAGATTCATGAAACATTGTCATAGATGTTCATGTTTTGCAAGTAATACAAAAATTTGAATTTTTTTTTCTTAAGAACCAATTGGTTCTTAACCATTAGAAGACTAATTTATTAAGATACTCTCATTTCATTCTTAACTTAGAAATAGCAAAATTTTAATATAAATAATTGTTAAGATCCAAGCTTAAGAACCAATTGGTTCTTAACCATTGGAGATGCTCTAAGACCATCTCTAATGTCCAACTTTATTTTTTTCTTTATTTTAGAGTTGACTCCATTTTAGAGGCATTTTGCTCCAATATATGTCTCTAAAATAGAGTTTCCTCTAAAGTTTAAAATAGAGAAAAATATAGAGTAGTCTTCTTTTTTACTCTATATATAGAGTAATCTCTACACTTTTCCTCTATTTTAAAGCTAACTCTATTTTAAAGGCATACAATGGAGCAAAATCAACTATATTTCTTCTAAAATAGAGTCATCTCTAAAATAGAAAAAAAAATGAAGTTGGGCATTGGAGATGCTTTAAAAAAAAAAGGAAGAAAGATGAAATATTGAATAAGGATGTCTCTGTCTCAAAAGCTCATACTCTTCTTTTCTTCTCTTTTTCCTACGCAACACTGACTTATTACCAACTTTTTCTTTTTTGACGGCTTTGTCTTAGATCACATCTAAAATTATACTTTAATTCAAGTAAAAAAAATAGTTCTTCTGAAGATAATTATCTCAATCCTGCGGTCCAAAAAAAAAGAGAAGAAGATGAATTCAATCTTAAAGATCAGTATTGATTGGGTTTTAAATACACACAAATACATCCAATTTTTTTTTAAAAGAAAATATCTATGGGGCAAGACTCCTAGGTATCTACAGACTAGAGAGTTGCATTTCAAACCTAATGCTAATTATTTAAAGTTATAGAAAAGTGGAACTCGTGACTCGTGCACTGTGAAATCATTATCAAATCCGTAAAATATTACTAGAACGCAAAAGTCTTACCAACACATTTTTTTTTTGTCAACTGATATTATATATATGGGAAAACGAACATTACAAATAAAAACTCAAACATACAACAACTGAGAAAGTGAGCACCACAACTCCACTCTCGCGATACAACCAACAAGGCCATTTAACAACTAAGTAAAGGCCTATACAAAAGAATGAGCTCCAAAAAACTGAGCCAAATCATCCAAAAACTCTAATTCAATCAGAGGTAAACGATCTTTCTTCTGCGAACACATTTACATTGTCACTATTTACTACCTTGTTCGTTTATAATATACTTTCTGACATTTATTTAATATTTAAAGAAAATATATCTAACTAATCTAAGGGGATCTATAATTTCGATAACCCTGAAATTCTAACTCGTCGATAATCCATGAACGACATAGACTCAAAAATGGATGTGAATTGATGGCTCATGGATATAGAATCTCTTTCTAGTGTAAATTTAAGCTTATTTTAATTGGATCACGTTCAACGTCCACTAGTCTAAAAATTGTTACGTAATAAATGTATATTCATATTTTATCGAGTAAGTGGACAAAAAAAAAGGAAAACGTGTTGATAAGACTTCTGTGCTCTATTACTTACTTTAGACCATACACAATGGTACAATTTTTGGTTGGGTGTGAGTAATATAAAAAGGAGAAAAAATAGAAAAGTTGTGTAGAAGTTGTATGTTGGGTGTAAGTTTACACTTGGGTGTGAGTATTAAAATAAAGAAAAATATTGCACTCTCTCTATCTCTCTCTCTGTCTTTTCTCTCTTTCTTTTCTTTCTCTCTTTAATTATAATAATAAAAAATTATTCACACCCACACTCACACATGTGCCATTGTCTATGCTCTTACGGACTCGATGATGGTTTTACACTACTTACCAATTCCACTTTTCAAATAATTAGCTTTTTAAATAATTAGCTTTTTAAAGAAAGCTTTGTAGCTTGATCTGCATTGTTATTCGTGTTTTACGTGTAGATGTGAATTCTAGACCCAAAAGTAAAGTAAAATAAAGCGATGAATGCGCCTATAACTATATGCTTTTAAAAAGTTGTAAACAAATAAATATTTTAATCTCCACTTCTTGAACTTCAGTCACTTTTCTTCTCCATTCCTGCAAAAAGTTAATACTATCATATTTCTATAAAAAGACGTCTTCTCTATTTCTTACCTGCAACAGACTTTTGATAAGCTATTTCCCACACTCTTCATATTTTCATGGCGACTCAAGATTCTCAAGGGATTAAACTCTTTGGCAAAACCATTGCATTTAACTCTCAGACAATAAAAAATGAAGAAGAGAAACAACCACCGGAGCAAGAGGCTACAACAACCGTTAGATCATCATCATCATCGGATCTGACGGCCGAGAAGCGTCCAGACAAGATCATAGCATGTCCAAGATGCAAGAGCATGGAGACAAAGTTCTGTTACTTCAATAACTATAACGTTAATCAGCCTCGACACTTTTGTAAAGACTGCCACCGTTACTGGACCGCCGGTGGTGCACTTCGGAACGTTCCCGTCGGCGCCGGTCGTCGGAAGTCCAAACCACCAGGCCGTGCCGTGGTTGGTATGCTTGGAGATGGAAATGGGGTTCATCAAGTCGAGCTTATAAATGGCTTGCTCGTTGAGGAGTGGCAGCATGCCGCAGCCGCAGCTCACGGTGGTTTCCGGCATGATTTTCCTATGAAGCGGCTCCGGTGTTACTCCGACGGTCAATCTTGCTGATTATTATTGTTCTCTTTTTTTTTTTTTAATTTGTTATGGTTTTGGGGTTGAGTAGTTTTCCTTTAAACCCGTTGAAGAACGTGGTGAATTTGGTTGCTATTGGTACATACAGGCTGGCAAGGTAGTTAATTTGTCATTTGTCAATCAATCGAATCTAAGTACTACTTTAATTTACTAGTCTCTCTATACAAGAGAATTCTTATTAACAATTTAATTAATATTATCCATTTGTGTTAGAATTCCATACGGATATGGTTAACAAGATTTTCTCCAATGAATTGTTTGGAATACCTAAAGTCGGCTGTTGTGTTATTCCCACTTTGTAATAGTCTTCTTTTAGATGGTAGATTAAGGTTTTGGCATTCATCTCAAAGAGACTTGTTAATATCTTACAGTACATAAGTTTCCTTGTTTCCAAAGAGTTATTGTAAGATATTAACAAGGATGTTTTGGCATTTCTCAATGAGATATGATAGAGAAAGGATGTTTCCTTGTTCTACTTTTTTTTTTTTGTTTTTAATCAGAAAACTAGTTAAAAGGAACAAATAATTAATTAGCTTTAATTTAAGTTTTTAATAAAAGAATCTCATACGGATGGATGATAGAAGGTTTTTGGCACTAGCTAGACAATTTATTTAATCAAGAAACTCCTATGGGTTTGCTTGATAGATTAAAGTTTCAAATTTCCCGCTGACATAAAAAGGTTTCAATTTTCCCACATTTATCTTACATACTTATGTATAAAGTAGGGAATTTAGTCATTTCTACCACAATTATCAAAAACCTTCTCATTTCTACCAAATTTGGAAATGCCTTTCTGATTTTACTACAATTGTATGGTAATGTAGTATTTTGAGGACCATTTTGCCTATATATGGTTAATGTAAACTAAAACTGAAACCTATCCGAAATTAAAATCGAGAGTCCACACATATATGTTTAATGATTTCATTGTAAGCTTAAAAATAATGAAAACCAAAATCCGAATAATGTTTTAAAAATTTACAATCAAACTACAGATTTAATATTTAATAGCTTGATTGTTACCCCCTTTTAAACTGATTCAACTTTGTGTTTCTATGTTTAATAACTAACCATCTTATATCACAAACTCAATTTTATGCTTTCTATCTCTTTGTTTCTAATTTCTTGTTTCTTATTATATAAAAGTGAGAGAGTTTTACAAGAATAGAAATGATATTTTTTTTTCTTCTAATTATTACTAGACGACTGATCAGAAAGCATGTCTAGTTTTCTATCGTATTAATTACTGTGTATTATGTTTGAATATGATCAGTATGTGATCATAAGTACTAAGGAATCCACACCAAAATTATACGGAACGAAAGCAATAAACGTGTGGGATCCGGCGTTAAGGAAAAGAGCAGAAGAGATGTCTATATCGAAGATTTGGATTGCGTCGGGACAATACAAAAGTGGTGATCTTAACACCGTTGAAGTTGATTCAGGCCGTGCTTACATGAAGAGAAAATAAACTTTCGCCTACGTTCAATTTTAAAAAATATATTTTGAATGGTCTATACAGAAACTTTTGTATATAACAACTACAACCATAAATCCATGCATACAACAATAGAATTTATAAATTATAATCTAGTTAAATTTTTCAAATTGAATTAAACATTGAAACAAAGAAAAAAAAAATTAGAGTAACTAATCTATTCACCTTGCTTTAAATCACCAATCTAAATTTTTTCGATGCAAATTTTTTATTGTAACTACACATTTATCAATATGTTATTATATTTAAATAATTTAAATAATCAAAAGAAAAAATATTGAACAAAAGTAAGTAAAAATTAAGCAAAAAATGAGCAAAACATAAGTACAATTAAACAAAAAAACTAAGCAAAAATTTTACAAAAACAATTCACACATTCAAAGTTGAGATTCTAAACAATTAGAAACAAACATAAGTCCATACTTTTGAGTCTTTGGCTGCTTATGATAAGTTACCACATTAAGTTGATAATTAATTTACTGATAAGTTACCACATTAAACTGATAATTCAAGAGAACTCCTTTAAAACAGTGGTTGGGGGAGAACAATAATTAATTATCACCTTGTTCTAAATCGCAAATCTAAACTTTTTGATGCAAATTTGTTTTTTTAGTCTTCTCTATGTATAAATTGACGACATATTCAAATTACAAAATTATTCATTATGATTTCTGTAAGAGTACTTTGTATTATTTGAATAATTTTAAACAAAAAAATTAAATAGTTGGCTATTAATCGTAACGTAGGGATGGAAGATGCATGTTTGATTAGATTGGATTCATAAAGCTTAAAATGTTATTACAATATATTTTGTTTATTAGTGTAGTTCTTTTTCACAAACGATGATATATTTTTTAATTTTTTCTTTTTTATGTTCGCCTCCGATGCACATATACGTTAGTACGGCTCTGAGTTGGTTGGCAAGTAAGTTTTAATTTTAGGGATATACATCAGGATCATGAAGTTATTAGTTTTTGAATTTTAGTTTAAGCAATGTATATGTGATTATCAACGACTAACACAATAATTTATTTTTATGATTCAAATATGTAGGTTCTACCGAAATTGTATAAGGACAGCAAGCCTATGTTATTTCTTGGACGGTACGGTTTTTTTTTATTTTTCATTATCAACTTTAACTCATATATATGTTTTACGTTACAAAGCATAAATAATTATTTTTAATAATCTGAAATTAGATACATTTATTATTGTTAATCTGAATTTCAAAGTTAAATACTTCACAGTAATACTATTACGCTACCTACTTTTTTGGCAGCTATTCATATAACTTTTAAAAGGACCAATACTATATTAATTAAATACTAGTATAACTGTAAATGGAATTTCTACAAACCCCACTCAATAATTTGTCCTTCCAAAAATCCAGTCTAGTCAATATTATAAGAAAAGAAAAAAGATATTAAATATATATACTATTCTAACAAAATTTTATAGGTTTGTTGAATTTTGTTTATCTTATACTATTAATTGGGAAGTACATAATAGATAGTAACATTGGCCTTTGTAAGATATTACATAGCCACATAGGTATGCCATTGAAAATAAAATTTCAAAGAGAAAATTAGTTCATCTCATTAAAAATAAACAAATCAAATACTAATTTATGCAATTTATTTAATTTAACTAAATTATAAAAAAGAAAATAAATTATTAGTTTTTTTAGAAAGAGTCACCAATCAAAAACTTACCATATAAATTTGTAATCATTATACTTCACCTCTCATCTTTATATAATTCTATTTTTGTGAAACAAATAAATCATCATATCATCCATATAATAAAAAAAAGTAGACTTTTTCGCATATGCCAAAATATGAATTAAAAAAAAACGAATATAAATTGTTCAATCTATGAAGATTAAATTGTAACGGGTTATCAGACTTGAGTAATATTTTTCTTTTAAACAAAAATTCTGACTTAGTAACGGATCAGAATTTGAATATTTATATTTATTTTCATACATTTCTTATTTAAAATGTATAATTTTATATACTACAATAAACTTTTAAAATATTTTAGTTTGGAACATTTTAAAATAGTTGTTTTTGGTATTTTTATAGATATCATCAATACTTAATAGATCAAAAAGTTAAAAACTATAAATTCTCTAATGTTTTTTAAACAGATATATTTATATAATAGGCGACATGCTAAATATAATGTATTATATAATAGAATGAGTTATGATCCTTATAACTATTTAAATATTTATATTCAATTTCCAACAATTCTTTATTTGAAATTCATAATTATATATGCTAACATAAACTTATAAATATTTTAATTTGAAACAGTTAAAAATAATTTAATTTAAGATTTTTAAGGAATATCATAAATATTTTAATAGATCAAAATTAAAATTATAAATACTTTAATGACTTTTTTAAATAACGATTTAAGAAGGATTAATGAAAGTGTTAATGAATAGTTTGTTTGCATTCAGAGTAATTTGAAATAACCAAAATTTTACTAATTGCTTTATTTATTTTTTAATTTGTATTTTAAAACGGAATAATATATATACAGGCAGTTGTTGATATATATCAAAAGGATATTGGAAGTCCTATGTGTTCTAGAAATCTTACACCCTTATAAATTAGGAAACAAAAACAAGTTATAAAACCTCGCTAAAACCCAACTCGTGTTCTTTATCTCTCCCAGTGCCGTGCCTAGACCTTTTGGGGGCTTGGGATAAAAAATAAAATGTGGCCTATTTAATTTAGTTCAATACTTATTTTTTAAAGGACCTAAAATAATTATAAAAGAAAAGTGAGCTACAATACAAAATCAAGTTTGTAAATCTATATAGTGAAATGAATCATGCTAACATGGGATTGAACTTTAAGCAAAATACATATATGAGACTACTAAAACCTACTGAGCCAATAAGATATTTTTAATAATGTGGCCTAAAAATCAAGTCTATAAATTGTGGCTGTGGGCAAGTGCCCTTTATTTTAAGGGGTTAGCATGGCACTGATCTCTCCAATTCCTCTGAAGCAAATCTTTTTAATTCTAAAACTTCCTCGCGTACGTGGTTACGTTTTTCAATCGTAAGTTTTCTTTTAGCGATTGTATAGTTTTGAGACATTCAATCGTCGTTCTCTCGTTCTAATTAGGGTTTCCGTGACTCTCTTTTTTTTTGGCCGCTTATACAATAAGGAGATTAGTTTTTGTTGACTAAAATTAAGCATTTGAGAACTGAATTTTGGTTTTGAAACCCTTCCCTGTCTTCATACTAGACTCAAGGATGTGGAACAGTTTAGATTGTATCACTACAAGAAAAATTTACATTCTTAGCGCGGAAAAAATGCTATCATAGATAATACATAGCGAAATAACAACTGCTATGATCTCGGCAGCTATGGTAGATGTCCCACCTACGATAGCATTAATTTTGTCTGCTATAGTATGTTTATATACAATAGCACTTTGTTAGTGTTATTATTTACATTTTCATAGCAATAATTTATTGCCATTATTTAGTTGTTCATAGCAATTTATGAATTTTTTCAATTTTTTTTGATAATTCAAATTGGGTGCTATAATAGATCACTATACAATAGCAAATATTTGTTGCGTTAATTCATGTTTTCATAGTGCCATCTTTAAAAATATAACATGCTATCATATGTAATATATACTTATATATATATATATAACCTGTAAATTTAAAATGAAACCATTTATAACATCTCAAAAACATTCCAACATACTTAAAACACTTCCGCATCATACCAAACACAATTCCGAATCCAACATACCAAAAACAATTCCAAATCCAACATACCAAACATTAAACATTCTGAATCCAAAATACATAAAGACTAGTCTTAACCTAAATTAAGCTAGCTGGACCAAAGTTGCTTCATCCCCTGCAATTAATAATGGACACTGTCTTATATTAGTTTTGCACCTGAAAAACCAAAAACACAATTATCAAAATAAAAAATACTTACCTCAGTTGGACGATAGTCAATACATGACCAAGTTATCAGTTGGCCATGCGATAAATGAACCAAGTGCATCTTTCATATACTCAATCTCATATGATGTCCTCCAAACCGCTGCATCATCTACCTGGACTATATCTACCAAAACTTGCGCAGCATTAAGACCCAAAGGAGCACAGTGTACACGTCTCTCTGGATCAGTTGAAATCACCCGTCCTTCAGCAACAACTTGCTTCCTTTCTTTAATATCCAGTAACATACACTTCTGATTTTCCTGTATAGCTCCTTTTTTCCGCTGACAAGTTGACCATATTAACCAATTACTACAGTAAAATGAGACAGAACCATAATCAACTTTAGAACATATAAAATAAGTTACCGGAGATCTTCGAAGAGGCCGGGATGGTGCAGCTGTTTGAGTTTCCACTGCATTAGCTTTTGGAACTGTTGTTGGAGACTTCTCACATGATGCTGAGATTGGTTGCATATGCGACTTAGAACCTGTTGCTGCGGATTTTTTACTTGCTGATGCTGATCTTCCATGAGCTGGTTGCGATTTAGAACCTGTTGCTGTGGATTTTTGACTTGATGATGCTGATTTTCCATGAGCTGTTTGAGTAGATGCATAATTCTGAATAGGAGATAACCGGCCTGTTCCATCTGGGTTGTTTTCGAAGACAACTTTGTTGAAAGGCCATGCTACAAAGGACATTAAACAGTCTTCTATGTATGTAACATCCATTGTAGGCCTCCATATGAATGTATTGGCTTCATGTACCACATCAACAAACACTTTTACAGCCTTTGGTCCGAGTGAAAGTCCATTCACCAAAGCTTTACGATCTTGCGTGGTCCAACGGCCTTCAGCAACAACTACATCATCGTTAGACAGATCAAGTAGTTTGCATTTGTTCAAAGAATTGGCTCTTGTGCCCTGTTAAACGCATAAAACAATGTCAGAATTTTAAATCATCAACAATCTGTATAAACTTATTAATTAATGAACAAGTTAGAAACTTTACTAATGGTGCCATGTCTTCTTCCTGAACCCCCTGTTCTAGACTAACACACTTCGTGGCAGGCCATGCAATCATATGCCCAACAGATTCTTCAATTGTTGACATTCCCATAGTATTTCTCCAAAGGAATGCTTCTGGTACCGTGGCAGTCTCAACCAAAACTTTATAATCTAAAGGACCTAAACGTGTCCCATTCACAACATCCTCTGGATCAGTAGATATAATACGTCCCTCAGCAACATTCGCATCATCACCAGCCCAGTCAATCAAAATACACTTTGGTTGTGCTTTTTTGTTAACACTCTATGCAGATTTAGAGTAGAAAAAAACAAGTCAGACTTTATAGTTATAAAGAAATCAATTTCATGGATTATTAATCACTTACCCCTGCAGCAGATCTAGAGTTTTCACCAACTTCAGTTTCTTGTCCCTGTGACATGCCAGAAAAAATATTAACTTTTAATTTATGTTACAACCCAACAGCTTAATGTACAAAAAATACAAAAGTGCATTACCTGGTTCTGCAGTTTACCAAGTTTATTTTCTAGCTCATTAACCTTGTCCTGGAGATGAATTTGTTTCTTTTCCATTTCAACCATACACTTGTGATTAACTTCGAAACAAGCTAATTTCGTCTTAGTCATATTTCTCCCCATTGCCCTCATTCGACCGGGATTATCAGGTCCTAATAGTTCGACAAGTGTATCTTGTCCTTCATTTGTTTCAACAGAATTAACAAGTTCAGCTGCCTTTTTCTGCAAATTTAGTTACATATCAAAAACAATTCCAAAAATCTAAATCTATACTGAAAACCAAATTCACGATGTACATAACTTATAACTTACAATTTTTTCAGCTGCATCAGTATTCACTGGTGTCCCATCCTTTCTAGTACGCGATCTCACCCACACATCAGTTCTTGTCACATCAGAAGGATCTGATTTCTCTCGTCTCTCTTCTTTCTAAACAAATAAAAAAAATAGATCATTCAAAATACTTGTTAAACTAATGAGAATTAATAATCCAAAGCATTTGGCGTACCAAGTCTTCAGCTAGTCTAACCATTCCTTTGCGACTACAAGTGTGTGGAATCTGTAGGCTCTTCCTTTTCTTATAGCTATCACTCACAACCTAACACATGATTATAGATATGTCATGTTATTCATAAACAAACATAAATCTTACTTACTTCAGAAAATAATACCTTAAACTCAGGACTAGTTTTGAGCTTGACAAATTTACGCCAAGCAGCTTCAGTAACATTCTTAGGTCGCAGATCCATCCTTTCTTTCAAAGTCGTAGCTTCATTAACTTCCCTAACCACTCGTGACTTGTGTGACCTCCACAAATTTCCCATCTGTTCAATCAATGCTTTCTTTTGGTAATCTTCTTCTACTTCAAACCTTGACTGCAATCAATCAAGGTTTTAAGAAAAAAACATTTCAACCTGGAAAGATTAAGTAAATAGATGTCAAATTACAGAAAAGTTTACCTTGACAGACATCCAGAGCATTGTCTTCATATCCTGAGGGACTTTTGGCCAACTTTCAATGGATACAGGAACGTGTTCTCGCACAATTATACCAAGATACGTTGACAACTTAACAGACCCATGACCATAATGTTCTCCCATGAAAGTGAAGTTAACCTTTAATCTGCTATTTGGATTCCTGGCGATGTCTCTCAATCTTGTTGGTCCTCGCTTTCTCTTACCTGTAGGTTTAGCTACATGATCGTGCTCGTCAGTCCCATCATTAACTCCTGGCTGATCTTCTACAGGCTGCTCTTCTAAAGGATGCTGAGCCTGCTCTTCTGAAGGCTGAGCTTCTACAGGCTGCTCTTCTGAAGGATGCTGATCCTGCTCTTCTAAAGGCTGAGCTTCTACAGGCTGCTCTTCTGAAGGATGCTGATCCTGCTCTTCTAAAGGCTGAACTCCTTCTAGACGCTGGTTGTGTTGTAAGTTATGATCAGGTTGTGGCGGGTTTATTGTACCCAAGAATTCTGGCTCTTCAGAATCTTTCTTCTTTTTTCTCCCTCCACGGTTTGTTACTTTCTTTGGTCCCATGTCAACTCACCTGAAATAAATGAAAGACAATAGGGTTAATTAAACAATTACGAAGCAGCTGTCATCAGATATATAGCAAATGGAAACACAAATACAAATCAAACAATTACCAAGCAGTCAACAGACGTAGCAAATAAAACAAGAATGTGAATGCCAAACAAACACAACTAAAAATAAAATAATTACCAAGTAGTCATCAGACATAGCAAATAAAGCAACAACAATGTAAATGACAAACAGACTTCATTTCAGACAAATATGCCTTCACAATCAGTTCGGGCATTTTCAGATTCATCCATGTGAACATCCATGTCCACATTTGCTGGTAATGGTCCAATGTCTGCAATTCCATCACCCAAATCTTTATTATATCTTCTTGAAGGTACTTGCATAACAACATGCCAACTTGATTCTGCGTCTTCCCTTAAGTAAAACACCTGCTTTGCTTGCGATGCTAATATATATGGATCTTTTAAAAAAGAGACTTGACTATGATTCATGTTAACTAGTGTGAAACCATCTTCTATCTTAGCTCCATTACCCATTACTGCCCAGTGACACCGGAAGAGAGGAACATAAAAAACATTATAATCTAATAGTATGATGTCTATCACTCTGCCGTAGTAAGATACCAAATCAACCACTTGTGAAGTATCTTTCGCACTAGCCCTACAGACTGCTGTTGCCTCATAGAAAACCCCACTATTCTGATTTTTCCTATCAACTAAACTTGTATGAAACCGTTGACCATTCACTATGTAACCTGTATATGACCGTGCCATATAACGTGGACCGTAAGCCAACCATTTTAAAACTTCTCCATGTCTGTCTGAATCAATTGGTATCTACGAGAAATAAAATATAACAAATCAGACACATACACATAAAAACATGAAATAACAACAGAAAATAGTAGATTTGATGTAACTTGCCTGCTGTTTTAACCAAGATGCAAAATTCTCAGAATGCATAGCCCATAAAACTGATGCATCACGTCGGCATCTTCCATTGGTGTCTTGTAGATGCTGAAGGTGCTCACTTGTACAATATTAATAATAAGAAGCTTAATCAGATACTTTATCATAAAACTGTAAATAATAATAGAACAAGAACTGTATAGAACTTACTCGATATAAGGTTCGACGACAGCCATATTTTGGATGACAGCAAGATGAGCTATTTTCTTATCCATTTCTGAGAGAGTTATGGAAGTGGCTGCGGATATAGGACGACCCTCTAGTATAGAACTATTCTCATAGTCAATGTTTCTATCTAGTTTTTCCTGTACGTTTGTAGACTTCTTTAAGAATTCACTACAAAACTGGACGCATTCTTCAGCCAGATAACACTCAGCAATACACCCCTCTGGTCTTGCAGGATTTCTCACAAAGTCTTTCAGAACTTTCATATACCTTTCAAAAGGGTACATCCATCTAAACTGGACTGGTCCACCTAACCGAGCTTCCCTTCCAAGATGAACCGTCAAGTGAACCATGATATCAAAGAAACTTGGCGGAAAAAATCTTTCAAACATGCATATCGTTTCAACAACCTCAGCTTCCATTACCACAATCTGCTCCATATCAATTACTCGCTGACACAATTGGTTGTAGAATGCACATAAGCGTACAATTGCAAGCCTAGGACCTTTAGGTAACAAACCTTTAAGTGCAACTGGAAGGAGTTGTTGCATTAATACGTGGTAGTCATGTGATTTCAGACCTGTCACTTTACATTCATCTACAGATATGCCTCTTGCTATGTTTGAGCAGTATCCATCTGGTCCTTTGAAATCAACAAGACGACTACATAAAATTTTTTTCTCTTTCTTCGATAGAGACCAAGGAGCTGCAGGTAGATATGTTCTTTTCCCTTGAATCCTAGGGTGCAAATCCTTTCTAATACCAAGATACTCCAGATCTTTACGGGCATTTAGACCATCCTTTGATTTCTTACTCAAGATAACCCGTCTCTAACAACCGCATCAGAAGGCAGACCAACCATTTGTGGACCAATCCGACCAACCAAATCAATGAGAGGACCCATCCCTGTCCAGTTGTCATGCCAGAAACTTGCAGTCACTCCAGAACCAACTTCACAAGCAAGAAAGGGTCGAGCAATAGGTCTGAGTTTGCAGAGCTTTCTCCAAATCCAGCTGCCAGATCCCGCTGGATTTAGATCCCAGAAGTTCCTACGATATTACTTTCGATATTACTTTTGGTATAGATATTTTAAAAATATGTACTTATTATATTTCAAAAACTTTTAGTATTAAATTTGTTTTGGCAGAATTGTTTTTTAAAAAAACAAATCATATCAAACTTAATGAATATTTTGTTTGCATTCAGAGATGAAATAACCAAAAGTTTACTAATTGATTTATTTATTTTTCAATTTGTATCTTACAAATCTATAAATTTCCATAGTTATATTAAAAAATAAAACGAAATAATATATATACAGGCAGTTGTATGATATCAAAAGGATATTGGAAGTCCTAGTCCTATGTGTTCTAGAAATCATACACCCTTATAAATTAAGAAACGAAAAAAAGTTATAAAACCTCGCCAAAACCCAAGTCGTGTTCTCTATCTCTCCAATTCCTCTGAACTCTGAAGCAAATCTTTTTAATTAAAACTTCCTCGCGTACGTGGTTACGTTTTCCAATCGTAAGTTTTCTTTTAGCGATTGTATAGTTTTTGAGACATTCAATCGTCGTTCTCGTTCTAATTAGGGTTTCCGTGACTCTCTTTTTTTTGGCCGCTTATACAAGGAGATTAGTTTTTGTTGACTAAAATTTAGTATTTGAGAACTGAATTTTGGTTTTGAAACCCTTCTCTATTTTCATACGGTACCAATCAGGTTAAATCAAACAAGATGGGAGGCGTAGAAGATAACCAATGGTTTGATAAGTTTATGGATGAAATCGGATTGGTATTTACCAAGGTTGACGAATCGATACAAAAGGTAAGTACTGTTGTTCTTCTGGTTTGATATTTTGTTGATGTTGTATGCCCTAAAATCCAAGAGTTTATTGTTCTGTCTATGTTGTGTGAGCTAGAAAATAGCTAAAAGCCTAAACCTATGTTCTTTTATCATCATCATCATCATGAACGCAAAGTTTATGCTAATAATTGATGTAGATTATGTATTTTAGTTGTTTAGTGTATTTAGTAGTTAAAACAGAATTAGGGTTTTCAAGGTTCTTTTAGACTATTATTTTTCTTTATTAAACTATATGAAGAGAGTAAAAAAAAGTTTTACATGAGATGTGAAAATATAAAGACCAAGAGAGAAGAGATAGAAAGAAAGCTTCAGTTCCATCAGATATTTTATTAGATTTATGGAAACCTAGTCACGGTCTAATCCATTAGAAACCCACAAATATTCATGATAGTTAGATCTTTCCATAAAGTAAGTTGAGATTGTCAAAACTTACCTTTTATTTGATTTGTTTTTTCTTTTCTATATTTTCAGAGTATTGAACTCTGGACAGAGTTAACCAAAGACATATTTGACGAGCAGCCTAACCAAGGCCTGACCGGACAGCCAGACAATGGTGAATCTGGTGAAGAAAATTCCTCTCAATATCCTGTCGCTGAGGTCAAAGAAAGACCGATTCAACACTGGTCTATGTGCCTTTCTGAGGTCAAAGAAAAACCGAGCCAACACTGGACTATGCGTGGTATGTTTTATATAGTATATTTTACATAGTCGTTGTAATTAATTCCAGTTCAACTAAAGTAGCTACAACATCAGCACTTTTTTGGTTTCTTGACTGACAAGTATCATCGAAAATTCCAGAGAGTTTCATTCAAGAACAAGGTGATGATGATGATGCTATTGATGATAATGATTATGATGATGATGATGATGATGATGATGATGATGATTATGATGAAGAAGATAGTGTAAGTTTAAAGCAGTTTTTCCCATTTTCATATCCATGCTCATTAACTAGAATAGTAATCCACCATTTTGTATAACGGAATTTAGTAAATTTAATTAGGTGCTACTTTTTTTATTGTCTCTGACTGAATCTTTATGATTAGGAATCGAGTTTGAAGTGGAACGGTGACTACCAGCTGTTAAAGAGTGGTTATTTGTCTTTCGAGGAAGAAGAAGAGGATAATGACGATGATGCAGATGTTGACATGTTTTCCGAAGAAGATGATGATTCATGGAATGAAGATTTTGATGATGAAGATGAAGAAGAGGATACTACAGTTTCTAAATCTTCCGAAAACATGTTGGACCTTAATTTGGGGGCCTCGGCGACGAGCTATATCCCTAGTTCGTACCATCATCATAATGATTCATGGAATGAGGATTTTGATAATGAAGATGAAGAAGAGGATACTACCGTTTCTAAATCTTTCGGAAACATGTCGGAGCTTGATTTGGGGGCCTCAGCGACGAGCTATATCCCTAGTTCGTACCATCGTCATAATGAAAAAGATAGTGTAAGTTTTTGTGAAGCAGTTTTTCACATTTTCATACCTACGTACGCTCATACAAAAACTAGGAAAATAGATGATCGTTTTGTATTATGGAATGTAGTTATATTTATCAGTTTCTGATTTGGTTATTGTCTTTGTGATTAGGGTTCAAGTTTGCCGTGGAATGGTGGTTATCAGCAGTTAAAGAATGTTGACACGTCTTCCGAAGAAGATGAAGAATCATGGGATGAGGAGGATGATGAAGTTGGGGAGTATCACACTGAAGAAGTGATGGAGATGTCGCGGGAGCAGAGAATGAGCAAGCTAAATAATGAATCATTAGTGGTTCATGACGATGAAGATGACGTGTCGGACACGTTACAAGGATTTGTGGATGTCAGGCAAGAGGTGATTGCAAATAATACGGAATTTGGTGAGGTCGAGGCCCTTTTACCAGAAGGTGATTGGGTTTACGTTAGGAGGGGTTAGGGCTCTGATTTTTTTTGTGTGACTTCATTTGAGTTTATATATACTTTATATCGGCTTCTATGATATTTCTTTGTGTAGAAATTAGAGGTTTTTAGGAAGTTTTTCGATCGAGTGTTTCATTCGTTCTTCACAAGGCTAATGTCACTCTATTAACTTTGGGTTTTAATATCAAAGAGTTTGTTTTTTTCTTATCATTATTGCTTGTCCTCCTTGCTACTAGATCCTGTGATTTTTTAGATTATCCCAAAGTACCATAGTTCCGAGTTGTGGATATCTGATGTATGCATGTATTATTATTATTATTATTATTATTATTTTTTTTTTTTTTTTTTTTTTTTTTTGTACATGCATACATCATACAACACTATCTGATGTATGCATGTATGCATGTATTTTGAGCTCAAACAATATTAAAATGTTAATATTCACCGAAAGTGTTCGTTTTCGTTCAAATGAGAGTTAGAACGTTTACTCTGATTCAGTTTTATATGTTATATAAATATCTAATTTTGTAACAAACTTTAGATATATTTACGTTGGAATGGATATGTAAAAACCAAAACTAGTAAAACCAAAATCTATTGGTATTTAACACTAATGTTGGTTTATTGGACCCAAAACCAATCATATTAATTATGATTTTTTTTTGCCAGCTATTAATTATGATTTACAAAATAGAATTTTATGTTTTAGAATTCAAAAATTAGACGAATCATGGAAATTAAAGCAGTCAAAAACCGCGGGTCGAGCCCAAATCATCTCACTATTGAGCAGATTTGGGAAAATATATTAAACCCGCAAATAAGCGGGCCACATAGATTGATTCGCAGTGGGCCATCGGTTTTCATCCGCGGGTTGGCGGATCAACCTGCATGATAGTATTTATTGATAAAAATATAATTTATTCAACATGTGGTAGTTTAAAAAACTTTTAATAAATGAAATTATAATATTTATAAATATAATGATATATAAGATTATAATCTCTAAATTTTTTCTAATTTATTTATTTTAGTAGAATTTTAAATTTTGGTTACTCTAAAATTATTTAAACAAAATCCACGGATAACCCCGCAAATCAGCATACATTCGCGCGACGGGTTTGTGTTTCATATATGCTACCCGCGGGTTGTGCGGACAGACTAACTACATGCCAAAATATATTTTGCCTATTACAAAACAGGCTTAACGGGATGAATCAACTCGTTTTGACAGCTCTAATGGAAATATTATTTAGTCATACAACACAATGGAGTTTGGACATAGGAATAATAGAATATATATCTTATTTGTTAGATGAGAGATTGAAAGGTGAAATATAATTATTAAAAAATAATTAATATTTTTCATGATTCACAAAATTGAATAAATATTTATCATCTTGTTGAATAATTCTAGAAATCATATTCAAGAAATCTTTATAATTTGAAAATTAAACTTCTTTGGTAAGCTATAAGTATGAAAATACCATAATTTCGATTTAATCTAATTAAATTAAAATTAGTTACATAGATTTCATATCTATTTAATTTACATGACTAAAATAAATAAAAAATCTATTTAATTTATAAAATAGATGGGTTAGTTGTGATAAATTTTCTAGAAATCTCTAGAAGCAAGTAAGATATCTTTTAATTAATGATAACTGGCTAAAATAAGCAAAATTAATGAGAAAAATGTTGATTATTATGGAATTAGTTACAAAAGTATATGAACAAATATATTATGCGTAATTAATGTATAATATTGTTCGGAATATGATTTTATAATTAGTTACCATAAGTACAATCAAATTTTATTTTATTTCCATAAACATTTGATTTTAGTTCGATTTTTCATTATTAATTCGAATTTATATTCTAAAAAAATTTCAAAGATCCGATTTCAGAATTTCGGGTCAATTTTCTGATTTTGACCCAATCCAATTACATTTGTACTTCTCTTTTAATAGTATAGAGATAATAAATATCGTTTATGCACAAATAAGATTGGGTCACTCACAGAAAAATCCGAGGCTTGGGAAAATCGACAAAAACGAAAAGGGAAGTGAGATGTTTCATCATTCTCTGTTTCAGTTCGGTAATGGCGGAGATTTGCTATTTTGGGGGTCTGGTCCATTATAAAGCACCATCTCCTTTCTCTCTTCATTTTCTCTTCCGCAGCAAGCCCCATTACTACAATTCCACTTCTCTCATGGCTGAATGTCGTTCTTCCTCCACCGTGGAGCCTCCTTCTCTTCTCGTCTTCTCAGGTTCCACTTTCTTCCTCTTCCTTGCTTTGTGGGTCTCCCTAAAGTTATGATTTTTGAGTGGAACGATCGTCGATTTGGGTTTAGATCTTGATCTATTACTTAGAATTTGACGTCAATCGAAATATTTGGAGAGCCACTTGAAGCAGCGTTGTGTAGATGAGTCATATGTTTGTTGCAAAGTTCAAAGCTTTATCATTTGTCTTACATTGGTTTAGTTACTTCTTTTGGTATGCTCTGGATTAATAAAACCTTGTATTTGTTGCAATGAAGGCGGCACTGGATTTAACGGTGTGGTTGAAGAGTTGAAGAAGTTAACAACCCGAGTCGCTCATGTTCTTCCTGTCTCTGATGATGGAGGAAGTACTGCTGAGATTGTTCGTGTTCTCGGTAAGTTTTAGAACTCACTAACAATGGTACAAGACCCAGATTATATGTTTTAGCTTTTTAAAGTTTTTACCACAAGTAATCTTAACTCACTATCTGCGTTGCTATAGGCGGGCCAGCGGTTGGTGATATACGTTCTAGGTGTTTAAGGCTGTCTGATGAAAGTACTTCAGAGGCACTTGCTGTTAGGCGGTTGCTCGGCCATCGCTTACCTATTGATGCACATCAGGCCAAGAAAGATTGGTAATTTATCCAACCACTCTGTTTTCTTTATGCACATAGTGTAGTCTACTCTTTAAGCTATACATTTCAGGTCTTGGAAAATCGAGCATCTCTTCCCGATAACACTCTGTAGAACAGCACACACATAACTTAGTTAAGAAATATGTAGAAAGAATTTATATAAACAGTGAATTCCTGCAGACTCCTAGAAGTTTCTTGTGAACGAAATTTTCGTTGTTCAGGCTTATCCATTGTAGACTTGTAGTTAGTTTTCTTTTCCCAAATTTTTTTTTCTCATATGTCATTTTATTTGCTAGGCTCTTACTAGTTACAACAGTTCTCTTACTAGCTACAATGGTGGTACTGTATAATATATAGTTGGCTGAGTTGGAACTTTGACAGGTACGATATTGTAGAAGGTAATCATTCTCTGTGGGATGGTGTATCAAGACCCTACAGTGAAACAATCCGCGCTTTCTTGATTTACTTTCAGAATGAGGTAATGTTAACTGATACAAAGAAACATATGGTTTCATGTTTGATCATTTTTTACTTCCAACTTCTTGATTCTTTAGATTTTTCTTTACCTTTCTATTCTGTCATCTCTTACTTGACATGTTTCTAACTACACAGATTCTCAGACGACCTAATGAGAGATTTTGCTTCAGTAATGGAAGGTATTGAAGATTTTTTTCTTGGCTTCAATTGTGTATTATTTTTGTTCACCTGTTTAGTAGCTTACTTTCAATTATATCCCTTCCTGTAGCATTGGGAACTTCTTCTTTGCAGGAGCAAGAATATTTTTCCAGTCTTTAGATGCTGCGATTTTTCTGTTTTCACGTGTTTCAGAGATTCCTTGTGACAGTTTGGTCCTCCCAGTGATATCAACCAATGATAGGCTTACACTAGGATGTGAATTACAGGTATGAACCTTGGTCTCTATGTGATTCCCATCAGCTAGTTCTGGAATCCCATGTTTGTGGACAGACATGGAAATTGATGGTATATTTAGTGTCAATATCGCAGCTAAAGCAGTAAAGCATCACTTTGTGGGAAAAAATATAGTATTTCTATTTATACGTAAATCCTAGCTGTCGATACACTGGCTGACTTTTTGGTTTAAAGATCAATTGAAAATAAGATTCAGGTGAAAATTTTGATATCAAGTTTACTGTTTGTGACATCAATTTGTAGGATGGGACTATAATACGCGGACAGAACGAAATCTCTCACCCGACCAATGGAACTATGCAGACTGTTGACAAGGTGTTCTATTATAACATCTCACCTTGAATTTCTGTGATGATCACGATAACTAAGTTTTCTATATATTTGTATCAAGAAGAAAATGTCGATTTTGCAACATGAAGAATTTGTTTTCTTACATTGTCTTTCTATGTTTCTAGTAGAGACATTGTTCGAATTCCGCTCTTCCATCAAAGATAAAGAGAGTGTTTTACATGTCAAGTGAAGGCAATAATCTGCTTCATGAGGTTAACTACTCTGTTTACTCTATTTTATATATACAGATTTAGTTCTGCATATCTTCAATGTTGCCCCTAATGATTCTGGTTTCCCACTTCCCTTAAAGAAGCTTTATCTTTTTAGTTCCCTACTTCATTTCTTTGTTTTTCCCGGTGTATTTGACATTGCAGATGTATTGTGTTATGTCCATTAATAGGTCTTCCCACCAGTTAACCCAACTGTCCTGGAGCAGTTGAGAAGTGTGGACTGTATCGTTTACGCAATGGGATCCCTTTTCACTTCCGTTTGCCCATCACTGGTAAGAACCCGCAATGAATTTTGTGCTACAATGGTGGATTACTATTCTTGTGATAACTGTTATAGACATGTCTTCTTCTGTTCTTCAGGTTCTGCTTGGTGTCGGGGAGATTATCTCTTCCAGGTCATGTCGTAAGGTATGCTGAAGCTTGTCAAAAATACTAATGGTGGAAAAAATCAATCTGATTTCTTCTCTCGGTCACAGGTACTTCTGTTGAATGGTAGCCAAGACCGAGAAACAAGCGGGTTCACTGCTTCCTGCTTTGTGACTGCTATTGCTGACGCTCTCAATAGGACTCATGGAGATCCTAATATCCGGCTCAAGAATCCCGTGAGTGGTTCTTATCAATACACACTCTCTTGATGTCTTCTTTATCAGACATATATTAAAATCCAAGACCATCATTTTTGTGTGCAGCCTGGATATTACATCAACACTCTCTTGGTCCCGAAAGATGGAGAAATAGCTGTAGATCTCAAACAATTGTCTGAACAAGGGATCAAAGATGTTGTTAGTATCTCTGTCCTTCACTTGTTTTCAAGTTTATGTGCACAACAAACACTCACCGTTGCGTCCGCTTTGTTGCAGAGAGTTGTGGAATGTGTTGGTGACCCGAAGCATGGTATCTTGTTCAACCCGAGCTCACTGATAAATATGCTGGCCGGTTTGGTGGAGTAAATAGTGATTCTTTAGGCCAGAGCTAGTTTCTTCTTTTAAGCAAATGAAACCATTATTTCTTTGGTTACTGTTAAATTTGATCCTTTGGTGAATTGATATAAAAGGTTATGAATGGTCAATGATCATATTCTTAGCTAAGGAAAGACAAACGCCTCTCTTTCTCTCGGAGTTGGATCATTTTTTTTTTTGATGGAATCAAGTACCCAAAACAAACTTCGAAGGGCAATATAATGATAACCGGATCCAACAGATTGATTTCCTAGGATTTTTTTTCTTGTTCCATAAATAATGGAACCTTTTTTTACACGTTTTACATATAACTAGTGTACAAATTTATACAGTTCACTTTGCAGTGAAACCAAATGATGACATTTCTACATAATTATGTGTGCTTGACTGCTTTCCATTCCCAAACAAGCAAAGAATTTTTTGGGGAAAGAGTGAAGGAAAATGTCATAATAGTCACCTTTGGGAACTATGCTTGGAACTATGCCAAAATCAGCTGAGCTACCAACTTGTGATCTCAATTTTTTAAACTACTTCTGAGCCCTTGACCCTCCAAGGAAACAAGACTGATTTTGATTTGACATGCGTCACAAAACTGCCTCATCAAATCACGCGTGTTCAGGTTTAGCACTTTTAGGACACGGCAAATTGATTCATGCTCGTCTGATCCATCATGGCTTTCAAGGTTATGCTTATGTTGGTTAATACCTTGGTTAAATTGTATGCCAAGTGTGGAGATACTAATGAGTCAAACCGTGCGTTTGGTCTTTGGTGACATAGCTAACAAAGATTTGGTTACTTGTCGAAAACCAAGTAAAATCTGAGATCTTTGCTTACCATTCTTCTTGGAAGTCTTATAAAAAGTTGATTATTTCATAATCCTTATGAATCTAATTGATGATCTTTGAAATGAGTTAAAAATGTGTACATTTACCCAAATGTTTCTATATTATCTGTTTCAATAACTATGTTAACCAGATTCATAGTTACCCGAAATCTAATATCTAGACTAGTGTAAAAGTTGAAAAGTGAAAGATCACACACAACACACCTTGTAGTAAGCCCATAAAGCCATCAGAGTCAATACATATTGAAAAGAGAAGATGAAAATGATTAATTTTGATATTGTATGAAATAAATAAGGAGAAAGTTACTAGATTAACCCAAATTATAAGTTTAATTACTAGAGTGTCTTGAAGAATTTAGGGGTTAAATGAGTTATTTTCGTGACCATAATACCCTTTATCTCTTTGTTAGGAATAAAAAAAAGTCAAAATTACCCTTAAATAAATTATAAAAACGTGGGTAAAAAATAAGGGAAATTGTTAAAAATACCCCTTTTGGTGTGCCCTTTTTCAAAAATGCCCCTTTTAGATGTTCATTTTCAAAAATGCCCCTTTTTAAATCTGAAATTTTTATAAAGTTTTATTAGGTTTATAAGGTACTTATGGATTGTAACTACTACTTGAAGACTCGATCCAAGTTTTTATAAGGTTTTATAAGGTGTTTTTAAAGGTTTTACAAGTTATTTTAAAGCATTTTTAAGGTTTTTCAAAGGTTTTACAAGATATTTTAAAGGTTTTTAAAGGTATTTAAAATGCATTTATAAGGTATTTATAAAGTATTTATAAGATTTTAGATACATAGAAATGTAGTTTGTATATGTTTTAATAATATTACATACATATTTGGGTAAATCTTATATTTTTAAGAGCATTTTTTATAAGGTTTTTAAAAAAGGGTATTTTTGAAAAGTGGCATTGAAAAAGTGGCATTTTTGCAAAAGCCCCAAAAAATATTAGGAAAAAAAAAACTTATTTGAAAGTCTGCTGGATAAGTTGTGACAAATTTAATTTCCATGACAGACTTATTTGTCTACGACAGATTTTTTCCGACAGATTTTTTTTCTCCCACAGACTTACTTGAAATAGGTTACGACATATATTTAATTTGTAACAGATTTTTTCTCCACGACAGACTTATTTTATGATCACACCACAGACTTTTGTAATTTTGACAGATTTATTAAAATATGTGGCAGATTTATTGTTTCAGTGGCGTCAGACTTATATTCTTTGATAAAAAATTGTCATAATGTAGCAGATTTGTTATTGAAAAAATAATTACTAGTTTGACTTATTAGTGATAGCAGATTTATTTTATGTTATGACAAGTTTTTTTTAAAAAAAAAAATCTAGAGTGTGATAGCAGATTTGTTATTTAAAAATATAAATTGCTAGAATGACATATGCTCGCAACCGAAATGTTTTATGTTATGACATATTTTTTTTATATTACAACAGATTTCAGATAGGTTATAAAAAAATCTGTCATATGATGACAGTTTTATTGATGAAGATAGAATTTTAATCTGCATAATAAGGTAATGACAAACATATTCTTACCGCGACAGACTTATTTATATTAAATGGCTCATGTGTAGCTGTCTCCTCGTTATTATATGATTAAGTTTTTTTTTTGTTTTAGATATATATATATATATATATATATATATATATATATTTAATTTATATTCTTAAAATGAGTTATATGTGTAGCTTGTTTTTGTTTTGTATTTTTTATTCCGTTTTATTTTTTTTTTCAATTTTTTATTTTGTTTTATATTTTTTTTCGTTGTATATATATATATATATTTTTTCTTTTTTTTATTTTGTATTTAGTTTTTCGTTTTTTTTTATATTTGTTTTTTGTTTTGTATTTTTTTTTCGTTTTATATTTTTTTGTTTTATATATTTTCTAATTTTCTATTTTACTTAATTATTATATGTTAATTAGTTTATTTTAATAGAATTGAAAATAAAATGAGTATTTGGTCTTTTAACACAAAAATTATGTTATTCTAGTAAACCATAATATTTGGGTGTTAATCTAGTTATTTTTCCCAAGATTTGGGTCAAACTAGGTAAATTTCAGATAAATAAAACACACAGTATTTAAAGTATTAAACCTTCACAAAAAAAAAAAAAAACGAACACACACACTTAAGTAACCATGACCTCATACATTATAGTAATATATAAAGAAACTAATCGGACATTCCATTGATCATTTATTATAGTGTAAATTCTTACATCATGTAGATGCTATAAAAATTGAAAGTTTACAAATTTTCACGTTAATTAAATTATGAGCATCCAATTATTTCTATAAAATAGATAGATATAATATATAAAAGAATTTGTTTATGTTTTACTTATATTTTGCTTATTTTTACTTACTCTTTTTGTCATTATATTTTCTTTATTTTTGTTTAACTTTTTAATCATTGTAATAGTTGTAGTCAAAATAATCTACCAATGAATCTATTTAATTCATTTGATGTTTTTGAAAATATTTGATATACTTATAATTGTCACTAAATTATTTTTTTAAATTGTCTTTTCACTTATCTTTAGTTAAGTTTTTTAGAAAACAACAAAATTAAAACTAAATTTTGGATTATGAAAAATTCTATATAACAAGCCTAAACATATATATATATATATATATATATATATATATATATATATATCTATAATTGAAGCATTAAACACATATTTTGATATTTTACGATGCATTGATGCATATGGGAAGCAATGTTACACTTCAACAAACTGTGAAGATAATGGCAGCATTTAGAGTCGCCAACCGAAGGAGCCTTTCATTTGCTGATTTGTGTTGTTTAACATCTTTCGAGATTTTGAATGTTCACGAGGAACTGCAAATCAGTCGGGCACCGACAAACTGGGACGAGTTGGTGAATGTTTCTCACACTATCTTAGTGGCCCTTGCCATTAATATTGTTGTCTTTTACGCACTAAGACCAACATTTGTACATGTTGTACACAAAAAACATCACAAATCCTACTATATTTTCTACCAAAATTTTGGTAAGAATTTTACCATAAACTATATTTTCTACCAAAATTTTGGTAATATTTTTTTTTACCATAAACTTACAAAATTTTGGTAAGAACTTTTTTTACCATAAACTTACGAAATTTTGACAAAAATTAAAATCTTAAGAAATCTGTAAGAAATTTTCTACGAAAAATAGTGGTATGATATTCATCAAAATTATGTTTTTGCAGGAAAATTTCATACCATTTTTCTACTAAAGATCATTGGTAGGTGATTCAAAAGATTTTTGTTGACATTTGTTTTGCTATTTTCCTACAAAACGAAATTCATAAGTACTTGGTATGAATTCCATAGGTTAATTTATAATATAGATGCTTCTCATTGCCTAATCTACATATACATTTTTACTACTATAAAGAGGCTCAACGGAAAAGAAAAAAAAAGACACAATAAACATGTTTTCATTTAAAGTAAGATTATTAAACCATATGATATTGGATTGGGTCCTTTCATATCGAAGGACAAGTTTGTAATTTTTGCATTAGAACAAAGAAAGTCCTAATTAATTTCAAAATCCCTCAACATGGTTTTGCTCACTTTTGAAATTTGCATAAACAATATGCGAAAAAAAATCATGAATTTAACTGAAGATTTCTTAACAAGTTTGACACAGTTATCATAATGCTCACAAGTAACAATAGAAGGTAATCTTTGGGTATATAAGTTTTGTATTCTATTTTATATGTATTGAACTGTTTAGAACTCAATAATATTTCTATTGTTGAAAAAGTATGGATGACGATGACGCAGCCATTTGAGCCATTTGAGCCATTTGAGCCCATGCTCCATTGCTCCTCCATTCAGTGATTGGACGGGACATATAAAATATGTAATGTCTAAAGTCACTTTGTTTTTTAGTCATTCGTTGCGGATATGACAAACAAATCAACTTCCTAACAGAATTTATTACAAAAATATGTAAAGTACACGCCAAAAGAGAAAAACGTACTACTTTCAAGTTTCATCACTTAACATAAAATATGCTATTTTTGACTAAACCTAAAGTGTATACATACTACGAGGATCCTAACCAAAAAGCAAATGCAACTTGACTTAAATCCATCTTGGTGAGATTTTTTGAAATAAAATTGGACCAAGATCATGAATTCGTATTCCGATAGTAAAAAGGAAAATAGGTTGTAGATGTTTTTAGCTCTTTTGGTTTCGGTTCAAAGATGAATGGAACAAACCTAGATTTTTTTGTAGTAAAAAGAAAATACTATTATAGAACATATCTTGTCTATTTTATAACATATATCTACATCTCATTCAAGTTTTGGAATAGTATTATTTTCTACTTTTTAATTGAAAACAAAATCCATTATTTTGTGGAATTTGCTCAGAGTACAAGCAAAAGCGAGAACTCCAAGTGGGGGGAAAGAAGATTCCCGTAATTCCTTTCGAGAGCGGAACAAAAATTTTTTTGGGGATATTCTAAATTGGAAAAACACAGGGTATTTCTAAAGATACAACTTTAACTTATTACATAACCAACCAAACACTGAAAAAGGTTATTTTAGTGTTTACGAAGAAAAATCGACGACCTTTTATAATCCCAAACGTGGTGTAAAATCTTTAAATTCTTGACCACTAGCATATATTGAACCAAGTAAACCAAAACCACAAATGCACTCAAAATACAAATAAGGAAGTTCAACACAAAAAAAAAAATACAATAGGGAAGTTTTTTCTTCCAAAGATCACGGCGCAAGTAATGCAACGTATTAACCACACCCCCAATTGGATTCAAGTCAAGTTGCATTTGCTACGATTGGTTCCATTATGTGCAATCCTAAATCTATATATACTCTTCCTTCTATCCTCACTTCTTCACCACACTACAACGCCATTAATCATTAGCCCAAAAAGAGTAAAGACACATAATAATTCTTCTATTTTCTAAAATCAATATGCCATCAATCATGGTCTTGGTCACTATTTTTACCATTCTTTTCACGACGTTCAGTATCTCTCAGGCCACGTCTCGTACTGTAACCTTTCACGAACCGTCGTCGCTTGAAAAACATGAGCAATGGATGGCTCGATTTTCTCGTGTATACCGTGATGAGCTCGAGAAACAAATGAGACGCGATGTGTTTAAGAAGAACTTGAAGTTCATTGAGAACTTCAACAAAAAAGGGAACAAAAGCTACAAGCTTGGTGTCAATGAATTCGCGGATTGGACCAACGAGGAGTTCCTAGCAATACATACCGGACTCAAGGGCCTATCTTCCAAGGTGGTCGACGAAACGATATCGTCTAGGTCTTGGAACATCAGTGACATGGTAGGCGTGAGCAAGGACTGGAGAGCTGAAGGAGCTGTGACTCCTGTCAAATACCAAGGCCAATGCGGTAACACTACATACCTTTTTTTTTTTGGCTATGTATACACTAGTCACTACCATACCAACGTTCCTTTTCATATTTACGTCTAATTGTTTTAAACAGATTTTTAAACTCTATATTTTACCAAACATCATTGAGAAAGTTAAACGTAAAATGCGAAATGCAAACGTAATATTCTCTCATATTGTTTATCAAGTTAATTTACAATTTTAGTTATTAGAAATTTCAAAACTAGTTACAAATTTTATGGGTTTTTTTGTTTCTTAAAAGTAAACATAATAATTTAACATGTTACGTATAATGTCTAGAAACAAATGCAATGTAAAGGCAACAACAAGTGGGCGCAAAATATTAAACTTGATGTCCAAGTTAACTAGATATGGTTATAGTAACTAGGGTTTATTGATGATTTGTTCACTATATTTTTGCCTCGTTTCTGTTATGAAGGCATCCAACTTATCAATTATCCATATGTACAGGTTGTTGTTGGGCGTTTTCGGCAGTAGCAGCAGTGGAAGGTGTGACTAAAATCGCCGGTGGGAACCTTGTATCGCTGTCCGAACAACAGCTTCTAGACTGCGACAGAGAGTACGATCGAGGTTGCGACGGTGGGATAATGTCAGACGCTTTCAACTATATAATCCAAAACCGAGGCATCGCTTCGGAGAACGACTACTCTTACCAAGGATCAGATGGGAGATGCCGGTCCAGTGCAAGACCGGCTGCACGGATCAGCGGATTCCAAACCGTCCCTAGTAACAACGAACAGGCCTTGCTTGAGGCCGTATCGAGGCAACCCGTCTCTGTGTCGATGGACGCGAATGGGGACGGGTTCATGCATTACTCGGGAGGAGTATATGATGGGCCTTGTGGGACCAGCTCGAACCATGCGGTTACGTTTGTTGGGTACGGAACGAGCCAGGACGGGACTAAATACTGGCTAGCTAAGAACTCTTGGGGTGAAACTTGGGGAGAAAAAGGTTACATTAGAATCCGAAGAGACGTGGCTTGGCCTCAAGGCATGTGTGGTGTAGCACAGTATGCTTTTTATCCGGTTGCGTAAGTGATTTTTTTTAACATATTTTATACATTGGCTACAATTCAATGAAAAGTATAACAAAGAGGTATATTATATAGTCACTGATTATTAAAATTTCGGTTGAGGTCCGGTGTGAGTCCACATCGCATCTTTTGAACCACATTTTATTATTATTATTTGTATTAATGTTCTGTTTACGTCTTCTTGCATGGCGTTTATATACCTTCTTTTTTTTTTTTTTAATGTAACTTCTAAGAGCATCTCCAATGGTGAGAACCTCTCAAAGGGTTCTCACCATTTTTTAAGAATAAAATTTGCTTTTATCAAACTTAAAAACTTGAATAAGAGTTGTTAAGTTTTGTCTCAAGAAAAAATTTAAACTTGTAAAACAATACATATATTTTTATTTGGTTACAACAAGAAAAAAATGTAGCAGGAGTTGAAGCACTTGTCATTCAAATCCAAGACAAAAGCTCATCCCAGTTCATGAAGCGCAAGGAATGCATCATAGAGGTGAGACAAGCAACCCCAAGCCTACAATCTCATCCTAGTAGGCAATCTATGCATATGAGAAATCCAACTTCAAAAAACACAAACCAATCAAAGATAACAAGCATAACAATGGCTCACACTTATAAGTATCAAGCAATACTAAATCTAACTTCTGTTTTGATCGACCTTAATTCATCAGATGTCCTAAAACAATAACAGTTGCTCTCTCTGCGGCGGTTTTTTATATCCTTTAGAGCAATATAAGATTCACAAGAAGTATTTCACTAAGAAAAAGATAATTGCAAAGAAGGAATCGAGAACAAAAAAGATCGAGAGATAATTAGAGTCACCTACATTTTCATGATGCTTGAGAAGTCATATGGTGAGCATCACAATTAACAGCACCTCCAAGATATTCTGCTACAATTAGAGTACCACGTCTCATCGCATGTTCCAAGCTTTCCATCACCTATAAGAGCATATAACAATTATATAATTAATGTGTGTCTCCAAAACAGCATGTCACATGTGACCCGAACTCATGGTGAAATAAAGTAATAAACCAACTTTGTAGAGTAGCAAAATGCAAGCACAAGGATATATACAACCCCAAGTAATCGACTATGGGAAGGAAAGTTTCATCATTAAGAAGTAGAAATCATTCAGCCTAAGATAAAATTATATCAAATCCTTCAGTTTCACAGAATTTAGACCAAAACAGGCTCGTATATACACAGAGGCAACTGTATTCATAATGACCAAGTTCAATCGCCGTTATTTGGCTCCTACATAAATGATTCTCTACAACATACTAAGATTCTACATCAAAGTTTCCTCTCTATCCAATTAATCAGCCTAAAATGTCCCTAAATTCTTATCCAAATCACCACATTAAAATCACAAAGAACCTCCAATTCCACAACTATCTGCAAATTCTAGTTCAATAGCTACCAGAATCAATCGAGAATAAAAGTCCAAAACCCAGACATACAACATGAAAGGAAAACAATTGGACAAATGAAAACCCAGAGACAATCGAATTTAAGAAAAAACAAAAATAGTTCATGAATCAAGACCAACGATCAGCTAGAAGAACAAACCTTGCAAAGTATGGATCCATGAATCGCAGAGCCAATAAGCTTACCGGAACAAAACTATTTACCATAAATCTAGCATTCTATGACTCAATTTGATTCAATCCTAACAAATAAATATCAATGAAACCCCTAATGAAACAATCCTGACTCAATTTGATTCAATCCGAAACTATGAACCCTAAAAATCAAACATGCAACGACTCCTCCTCACTTCAATCATGCATCATCATTCTCATTCCCGGCCTAACCACTCAATTCTTCCCTCAATCTTCGCCGTCTGCCTCAATCGCCGGAGAAAATCGAACCAAATCGCCATCGCCATCGCAAAGAAAGAAAGAGAGAAAGAGCTTTTGTTTTTCTTTTTACGCGTGAGTTTGTGTTTTTTTTCTTGCTTTTTTGTTCCTTGTTTTGTCAAAAAAAATCCACCAATGGGATGTTGCCACGTCATCGGCTCTCTTACATCTCAAAACCTCTCACAAGAGAGCTGTCTCTCTTCATGTTATATGATTTTGATTTATTTTTTAAATACATTTTGAAGAGAACCCTTGGAGAGAACCCATAATATTGGCCATTGGAGATGCTCTAAGACGTGTTTATTTAAGGAAAGAGTTTATATATTATTGATATTTAATTTCATCTTTTATATTATGCTTGGATGGGAATGTTAATACTCCAATAGAAAGAGAAAGATTGAGTTAATTAGTATCTAGCCATGACAGCAACATTAATGGCCATTAGTTGTCGTGGTCGCAGTTTGAATTTTAGTTAGTAGAGACCCGAGTTCTATTCTTGTAACGGCTGTGAAGATAACTGCGCCATAGTGGTGATTGGGTCATCACCTTCTGATATACCATAACTATAAGACATTCTGAGCATTTTTTTATTAATATATTAATTAATATCACTATAAATTAATAAAATATCATAATTTGGACATTAGTTTATTGTACATTCTATATGGTCCGTTATAGTGTTCTTTTTTTTTTTTTGACATCTTTGGATCGACAAAGCCCGATCCATAGCCAATCCCTACTATGCGGGGTAATGCGACTTACTGGAGTCGAACTCCGGTGGAGAAGGTGTAGTCAAGTGGTTAAATCCACTTGACTAAAGGCACATCCCCGTTATAGTGTTCTTTCCATTAATAGTGTTCTTTCCATTAAGTCAAATTTCACTATTTAAATCAAAGTTTGTGACATTTTGGTCATTTGTGTTTGATTGCTATAAGTCGTTAAGTTTCAGAATCTAATCATTATATTTATTTTTGGTCAGATCAGATTTGAATAATTTATTATGTAAGAATTAAAAACAATTGTGGCATAACATCCTTTTTACATGTGAGTACTCCAGTGAAAATATTCCTAAATAAATCCCGCACTATTCAAAGAACACTAACTAACAAAACACAATCAATTGATGACTACAAGTCTAAAATAGCATCAATTACCTGTCTATAGTGCTGTCCATATGTTATAAAAATATTTTTTCTTCAAAATTATATGCACTCTTGATTTTTTTTTTTTGGTCAAACTGATTGCATTACTTAAAAGAGAGTAGCGGGAACAACTCCACCAAAGGAGGAAGAGCCTAGAGAAGCTAAGGAAGATTTTGCCAAGGAGTCAGCTAAAACATTTGCTGCTCGAGGAAGATAAGCTGTGAGGTTTCGATCCGGTATTCCTCCTGATGGGCTAGTAAGAAACTGTAGTTGGGCCTGCGAATCTCTACTAAGGCCCAGGAAGACTGCAGTGTTTGTCAAAGCCCATGAATCTCAGTCAACACTCTTGCTTTTGTCTTCATGTGTGTACGGGTGCAACGGCTACACAATGATAAGGTTTGTTACGCCTAGGTTTGATGCGTGAGCTGTCAAGGGGAGCGTGTCAGAGGTGTATAAAAGGGTAAGCAAAGAGTAAAGACAAAGATAGAGAGAGCGTGAGTAGCAAGCGGAAAGGTCTAGAGAGTCAAGAGAGATTTGAGAGAGCTTATCTCGGTTTATTGATCTCTGTTTGTTGAGTCTTTCTGGTTTCTTGTACTCGGTGTTGAAACGCTTAATAAGATACCTTGTGAGCTGGTCAGTAAGCTCACCAAGACGTACCTTGGTCACCTTGACCTTGGGAACTTGTAAATCTTGTGTCGCCTCTGTTCTTCCTCTGTTCTCTCTTCTCTTCTCCTCTGTTTCTTCTTCTGCAACAAAACACAAACAAAGCAAACAGAACCTGACAAAGTATTTAGCCAAAAGAGTGAGAAGAACCAACAAATGGTATCAGAGCTTCGTTGAAAACGATAAAGGTGGTGTCTTTTCTTCTTAAAGTTGAAGTCTTTTTTTTTCTCTTAAGTTTGTTTGCAGAAGGTCTAGATCCAGCAAGTGAAAGGTTTTCTTGTTCACTTGGTTTCTGGTCTAGGCGTTTCTTCTGTAAAAAAGGAGATCTGGTGTGTTATCTGAGTTTTGCTGGTGTTATTTGTTGGTGTTACTGTGTGGGTAGTGTTGGTCTGGATATTCTCTCCACCTAGATTCTGATCAAGTCTGGTTTTAGGAAAGAGTAAATGGATCCTACTCGGGGTAAGTTTGAAGTGGATAAGTTTGATGGGGAAGGAGATTTCTCTATATGGAAGCACAGAGTGCTGTCTACTCTAGAGATTCTTGGGTTAGATTCAGTTTTGAGAACTGATGAAACAACTACATCTGAAGAAGAGGAGAAAGTGAATAAAGAAGATCCTGAATGGATAGCTAAGGACAGGAGGGTAAGGAATCTCTTAGGCATGAGTGTTACTGATCTTGTGTTGAGAAAGGTTATGAAGAACAAGTCAGCTCAAGGATTCTGGGATGCTCTAGAATCTCAGTATCAAGACAAGTCAGTCCCAAACAGGTTCTACCTAAAGCAGAGATTCTACAGTTTCAAGATGGAGGAAGACAAGAATCTAGACAAAAACTTGGATGTGTTCAACAAGCTTGTCTCAGATTTGGTAAGTCTTGATGTTGAAATAAGTGATGAGGATCAAGCTGTTATTCTCCTAAACAGCCTGCCATCAGCTTTTGCTCAACTAGTTCACACTCTGAAGTATAGGGGAGGCACAAAGACTATAACTTTGAAAGAGATTGTTCAGTCTGCTTATTCCCAAGAAACAGAGTTGAAGCAAAAGGGAACCTATCTACCAAAGTCAAGTGGTGAAGGTCTGTATGTTCAGCACAAACCTAAATTTGAAAGGAAGACTAATCCGAAGGCAAAAGCAACCAACAAAGGTAAGGAGAAAGTCAAAGCAAAGAAGGTTATATGCTGGATTTGTGGGGTCGATGGACACTACAAGAAAGATTGTCCAAAGAAAGGCCAAATCACTGGAGAAGCTAGTGTTGGACAGGGAATAGATTCTGAACCTATGATGCTGACTGCATCTGAAAGACAATGTAAGAG